TAATATTTACCTTACCCAGCACTGTAAGCATACAACAGATAACTTCAGACACCTTCACACCAGGTCCTTGCTCTTTATAAGTACCCTGGGAGTCCAAAATGCCTAAATGTGTTGAAAGACACTTTCTTCTTGGGTCTATTATGTCTGTAGATTGCTTCCTATCTCCTACTTCTCACTATTGGTCAGTAAGGATGCCTATGATAGTAATGGGCCTGTAGTGAAGTTTAGGAGACGGGTAGGGGTCGGGCTATGTCCCCGACCCTAGTGACCTAAGAAGTAAGTTCAATGTACCTGAGCATTTGAAGTGACACTAAACTCAGGGGTAAATCTTAAAAATGCATTCAGTTACCGTAACTATTAACAAAAATTTAGCTTATTTGCGCATCACTGGGCTGTTGATCCTCAAATCTCTGAATTGGTGCTGACACCTTCCTTCTGGAGGGGGGCTACTTTTGTTCCCCATGGTCCCTTTGTGTGTTGTTAAGTCACTGCTCCAAGCTCACTCCTGTGATGGTCTATAATTAGTTACAAATTAGTAAACTAAATGTGAGATTGTAGTCCATCACAGGAGCGAACTTGGAGCGGTGGCTACATTAAAACGCACACAGGAACCATGGGGAACAAAAGTAGCCACCCTCCATAGATGATTTGAGGATCTCCAGCTGGGTAATACACAAATAAGCTACTTTTCTGTTATTGTGTCCTCCCGTTACCCTAAGGAGAACTATGGGGAAAAACACTGGCCCCATAGTTCTCCTTTAAGGCACCCAAGGTAATTACACTGAGGAAAAAACTGACATCCACATAACTTAGAGGTGCTTGCTCCAGATGAGGGAAGTGTAACATATTTCAGAACTGCTTATTGCAGGCCAACAGCTAAATTTGTAGTTGCAACATATACATTATGTTTGCCTACAAAAGGATTTGTAATTATCTTGGGTAGTCTTATTATCCAGCCCCACCCTGCCAGATATTATTGCCAGGTCCTGGACCTTTCTGCAAATTGCATCTCAGTTAAAGTGGACCTTTATCCCCCTTTGACTAAAAATCACATCAGCATTCTGCTCTGCATGTTGATATTAAATCATCTTACATTCATTAGTTAAACAACATATTTTGCTTTTACTTACAATTACAGTATTTCCACTTCCTGCTGCTCTTAGGCATTAGTGATATAGCCCATGCTCAAGCGATGCATCCTGGGAAGGTTACATCATAGTGCGTTGCTGAGAAATCTCATCTGCAAACTGTGATATCTTGGGGAAAGGATTCTTTTTTTTGTTTTTTTTCCCCCTGAGATGATGTGCTTGGTCACATGCTCTAGTCACATGTGCCAGAGTTCCAGGAAGTAAAGGGAGATAGATTAATCTGCCCTTAGTAAAAATGGCCACCATGAGAAGAATGGGGAGGTATGCAAAGAATAAAAAGCAAGCAATTATCTGCTTGTAGATTTGTCATTACTAAACATTTCTAAAGGTGCCTTTTGTTATTATTTTAAAGATAAGGGTAAGGTTCCTCTTTAAGTAATGGAGTCTAGTCAGGACCCATCCCAGCATGTGGCTGAACAGTGAAGTAGCTGAGGCCCACTGAGAAGATCATCTCTCTACACAATCCTTCACAGTATTAAGGTGCCCGTACATCTTACAATCATCTGCAGATTTTCTGTGGCCAGATGGAAAAAGTGCAACAGATTGGCCCAGGTGGAGATTACTCCATCCACACAGTTCAGTGTAGATGGAGGAATCTGTTGCACCTTTTCCATCTGACCACAGAAAATCTTCAGATAATTGTAAGGCCAGCTTTAGACCTACAGCACTGTACAAAGTCACAGAGCTCTGGTTGGTTCTGAGCGTTGCTGTACAGGCGATTTAACCACTTCAAGACCAGGTGTTTAGACCCCCTTCCTGGCCAGGCCATTTTTCAGTATTCAGCGCTGCGGTACTTTGACTGACGTTTATTCCGTCATGCAGCGCTGTACTGAAATGAATTTTATACCATTTTTTGGGGACAGATAGGGCGTTATTTCGGTGGTATTTAATCACCACCGGGGTTTTTATTTTTTACTATAATTAGGGAAAATTACAGACAATTT